ACATGCCAACGAGGCACCTTCTTCTTCTCTTTCTCAGACAGTCCTGCGCGTTGACGAAGTCGAGGAAGTTGTTGTCCTGCAGCACATCTAGCAGGAATGCTTGCACACACACACACACATGCACACATAATGGGATCATACTGTGCATGGTTCGATCTCTCATGGTATGCCGGTGCATCTTTCACTGTCCCATGAAACAACACTGACTCACACTGCTCGATCAAAATGGCTCCACTGCTTTTCATGCTCAAGTACTTTGATCCAAAGGCAAACATGTACCTCCAGCCCTTGCACTATACCCGCCTGCCTGCATGACCGTGACCGGTGGGCACCGCGCGGGGACGCGGCCCCATTGGATCCGAACCAAATCCCAGAGGAGAAACAAGAAGAGGTGGCTGGTCGGAAAGTAGAGTCAGCGGGGGTGGGAATCTCTTTCTCGCTTTCAGTCTTTCTCTCTTTCCTTCTTCTTTCCTTGTTTCCTTCGTTCCTTCTTTCTGTCTTTCTTTCTTTGTTTCTGTCTTTCTTTCTTTGATTTCAGCAACGTCCCAAGAGAAGCGACAAGAGGCTGGTCGGAAAGCGGAGTCAGTGTGGGGGTGGGAAAAACTTCATGTTTTTGTGGCGCAAAGGCAAGTCGACTTCTCGTGACAGGTGCAAGGGGTTGGAGCGGTATTGCTTCGAAGTGCAAATTTAGTGGCAGGTGCAGCACTTTGGACATGGAGGTGATCTTCGAGGCGCTCTGATTTCGTGACAGGTGCAGTGAATCGTGACTTTTGGACATGTGGCTCGTTTGCAGATTTCGTGGCAGGCGCAACACTTTGTGTACCTCGAAGTGCAGATTTCGTGGCAGGCACAGCGCTTTCTGAACCTCGAAGTGCAGACTTCGTAGCAAGCACAGACCTTTGTGAAGCTCGGTGTAGATTTGTGGCAGGCACAGCACGTTGTGATCCTCGACGTGCAGATTTCGTGTCAGGCACAGCACTTTGTGTATACCTCGAAGTGCAGATTTCGTGGCAGGCACAGCACTTTGTCAACCTCGAAGTGCAGATTTCGTAGCAAGCGCAGACCTTTGTCAACCTCGGTGTAGTTTTCGTGGCAGGCACAGCACTTTGTGAACCTCGAAGTGCAGATTTCGTGGCAGGCACAGCACTTTGTGAACCTCGAAGTGCAGATTTCGTGGCAGGCACAACACTTTGAGAACTTCGAAGTGAAGATCTCGTGGCACAGCTCTTTGGGAACCTTGAAGTGAACTTCGAAGTGCAGATATCATGGCACAGCACTTTGTGAACCTCGAAGTGCAGATTTCGTGGCGGCGAGGATCCCAAAACAAGTTCCCGCTAATTTCCAGTTTGGTGACGGAGACGTTGTGCTGACCCAAGATATTGATTTGGAAGCTGCGTGCTTGTCAGCTGCTGGCAAATTGCTCAGTGGCGAGCCATTGCAGCGGGACACAACATTTTGCGGCGTGCAGCAACCGGAGCTGCTGTGTTGCGACCGCTCACTCCAACCATCTTTGAGTTGCACCGTTTGGCTGCGAAAGGCCATGTTGGGATTGGTATAGCAGACTGTTGTGCGAGGTGGCCGCGCATGTCCATGCCCGTGGTGTCAACTTGTTGCTTGCAGCGTCAACCCTGCCAAGCCCGAAGTTTTACCGAAAACACGTGAGGGAATTGGCAAAAGAGCCTTTACCCGAAGTGGAGAGAACCCTGCGCAGCTCGCAGAAAACATTGCGGCCACATTTGATTCTTGTTGTGCTGGCCTCCTCCAAAGAGGGATTTGGATCGGCTGCGTTAAGCGGAAAGAGACCATCGATCAGCTGTTTGGATCAGCCCACCCCTACGGCGCACGCGCAACTGTTGAAGGTGACCCCTGGAACACACGTTTTGAAAACTATGGGGTCCGGGTCCAGTGGCCTCTACCATTGGTTCCCCGGAGCTAGGTACAGCCTATAAGCCCTGGACTGGAAAATAAAATTCATCAGTTGTATTTTTGAAAAATTCACTTTTGACTTTAGTATTATTCAAAAATACGACCCTAACAAAAAAATTCAACAATGCAAGCAATATTCATGTAAATTGCCACTTGATACGCATTGATATGGGTGGGATGGGAAGCTGGCCCCCTTGTCTTTGGAGCAGCCTCTCGTGGTTGTCGAGTAGCCTGACCACGTTTCGTTGGTTGTCCAAAAAAAATTGCCGGTGGTTTTTGCCGGTTCGCAGTTCGAGGCTGAAAAATTGCAATTTTTGAAATACGGGAAAAATACGATTTTTTTTGTATTTTCCAAAAATAAAATACGAGAACGTACGAAACCTACAAAATTGTACTTGTTTTTTGAAAAAGTACAATGCAAAAAAATACTTCTTTTTGAAAATACAACAAATACAAACTACAAAAATACAAAAAATACAAAACAATACAAAAAAAATAACACAAATACAAACAAATACGACCCGAAAAAAACAATACGACCCACGAAAAAATACAAAAACAATACGAAAAACATACGACCCGCCAAAAAATAAAAAACTTTAAACATGAAACAATTGCCGAAACAGGTGGCGAAACCAAATTTTGTAATTTTTTCGTTTTGCTGACGTGTCGACGAGGGTGTTGGCTGATTTGCGCCCGACTGCCTTTGTTTCTATTTTGCCCCTACGCCCAAAAAACAACAAATTCGCGCAAATGCTTCTTGACAACACATAAAAAGGACAACATGACTCAAAATTCATTTGGCTTATTGGGTGCTATTTGCATTGTGCTCACATATATTTGGAAACCAGGGCCAGTTAGGACGTAGAACCATGCAAAAAACACCATTTCAGGGTTGTATTTTTTATTTTGAATGTTTTTGGGTTTCTTAGTCTCTACCTGGAAAGAGGGGTTCCAACTCTACCAACCAGTGGTTTTCAGGGTCCATGGGATCGTCTTCAAGGGATATATATATATATATATATATATTTGTTGTTTTTTTGCCAGCTCCGCCAATCCAAGGGTTGGGAAAACGTCGCGTCGCTCTCACCGACCGCACGATGCCAGGATGAGGATTCGACGGTACGCTCAGCGGCCCACTCGGCAAAGATCGAGCTGGAAGGCGGTTCGGCAGCCGTGATTGAGGTAATTTGGAGTGTCCAAAAACCACCGGACTTTGGAAGGTCCTGGATGATTGACTGGATCCACATACCCTCTCTGAGAGGGTGGCTGGAGGCACTTTTGTGTAGGTGCCAGGAAGGTCCAAGTACATTCTGAGAAGGTATGTGGATCCCTAGGGTTTGGGATGGATTGGGGACACCCCACTAAACAAGAACCGATGGACAGTTCGGTGAACGCTTATGTTCTTTGATGTTCTTTGGATCGAGCCAGCATCGGGAGTCGGTCCATGTCCTCACCCCAACGCCCGTTGATCTGGATATTGACCTCTCGTGGGCGTTGATGCATCAACCCCTTAACGTTATTCAAACGAAGATCAATACTTCCAGACAGAGTGTTTGAGATCCAAATGTTCTAGATTGGGCTATATACAATTGGCTGAGATTCTCCAGAGTTCGCCGAAGGTCAAACATCCCAGAGACCCTCTAAATTGATAGTTTTGTCTTCCTTCAAACGCCAAACGCCTTCAAAATCTATATCCACCCTCAGGCAATCATGGAAGCTAAGCAGGCCCAACTTGTAGAGGAAAATAGTTTTCCAGGGGGCCATGTTCCACTTCCATGATTGTTTCAAGATGGTTCAAAGAGTGTATCCATTCAAAACATCTTCAAACCAAGTCTATATAGATATATGTATATAATTATATAAATAGAGAGAGAGAGAGAGAGTTCATCATCCCAACCATTCCGTCCTATATGATAACGCCAAGAAGCATGGATCCATTTGAACTTTGCACCCTCCTTCAAGGTCAAAGCATTGTTGTAACACTGAGAATTCACCCTACAGACTTAGGGCAATAAGGGGAACCAAATCGATGAATACATTATCTCAACACAAAACTACAGTTTTCTTCCGAGTCGATACTCGAGTTCATGATTGTGAGTTTAGGTTTGGAAACTGCTAAGAAAGAGCTAAACCGGGTGGCGGTTTGGTTCAATACAAGACTGCTCAATCGCCAAGCTAATTCTGGTTAATCGCCAGGTTCTTGGTCGGTCGCAAGGTGTACACTGCTGGTTTGGACGTGTCTTTGCCGTTCAATCCTTAAAACGGTGCTGGGATGTGCTGGGTGATTGCTGTGGAGCGCCCCGTCTTCGGCCGAATATTTGGTAGACGCCGGCCCCGTCAGTCACAGCGGGAAGCTGGGCATCATCGGTCCATGTGCATGAAAAGAACCCCCCGCTTCGTCCATGAACTTTTGAGCCTCACCAAGTGACCTCAACGAGCGACTTCTTCAAAGGGTCACTTTGAAGAAGAGGGCCCTGTCTTTTTCTGAGGCCTTCAGCCACGAATGCGTTCCCCAGATCGAGTTGGTCCTCCAAGCGTCGATCTTTCTTGTGAAGAGTAGGAAGGTGTTTTTTCACAGAGTCAAAAGCAAGCGAAGCCCAAAAGCATTGGGAACGATGTGGCAATAATGACCTATCCTCGGCAGATATGGTTCTAATCATTTCCTGTCTCCAGCAGGCTTTTTATCTGCTGCAGCCAAGCAGTGCATTAAGGCTTCTTACTCATACGCATTCGATGATTGAGGAGGGGGCCCTCATCTGAGAGGTAGCTGCAGGATGAAACAACTAAGGGGGAGGGAATGCCAAATGTGCTTTGTTGCACATACCATCATACAGATGGGCTTGAGATACACCCATGGTAGTTAGGAGGAAGTGGACAAACGTAGTGAATGTTGCAATGTGGAAGTGACAATAGTAGAGCCCTCAAAGAGTGACGAAAGCACCGGTGAAAACAGCTCTGCATTCTCGTAAAATCTGTAAAGCCCGAGCCGTATTTCCCAGACACTCCATGCAATATTTGCCTACATTGGTGCTTTGGGGCGTCTTTCTGGGGCGGCAATGGGCGGCATATATTCCAGTCCCATGGAGTGTTTGGGTCGGAAACGGGTCAAGTCTTTGGTCTTGCCGCGCCGCTGGACGCCGGGCTCAGCCGGACGCCGGGCTTGCCGGCGTGGCGCGGGGCAACGCCCATGGGCGATGGCGAGCAGGAGGAGCTGTTGGTGGTACGAGGTCCACCATCGAGCGATGTGCCGCGAATGAGCCTTAGGCAGTGAACATGGTTTTTTCTTTGAGGGGGGCGAATAGATAGACTCTTGATGAATACGTCCCACACAGTTGAAGAAAAAATACCTCTTCTTGTTTATTAATCAAGAGTCTACATGAATTGAAATCAGTTGAATTTTAATCAGTTGAATTGAAAAACCTCCTCTTTATCATTTTAGATCATTTTATATCATTTGGTTGAGATTGTTGGGCACCCGTGGATGATAGGGTGGTGAGCCACATGAGGAAGAACATCCCGAGTGGGATTGTGCCCTTAAAGTATCATATGTGGTTCTACATCAATCTGAGGGCGTTTATTTGTTTTTTGTTATCTTGTTTTCTGCATTGTTTGATATCTAGGTGATGGTTTCGAATATATTTTCATCCCTTACTTGGGATGATTGAGCCCACTGACTAACATTTTTCAAGTGGGTTGAAAGCACCAACCCGATATGTTTCTACGGCTTCACCCGCTTCAAAATGCTGGGTCAACTAGAGACGTGAACATTGGATGGCGTATATAGACGATATAACACATACGGTTGGATTGTTCATGAAAGTGTGGATTGATGTTGCAAATAAGATATGTCCCTGGACTACTACAGTCTACAGGAATGCCAATCTCCGACTTCATTACCACAAGTTCCTTTTAAATCTCGCTGCGCTTTTGTGAACAAATGGAACCCGCAAGAGTTAGCGCACACCATCTCTCAGCTTCACATAGTTTCCATACAAAACTCTTCACAAGAACATCTTCCACCCACGTGGCACTTGCTGTTGCATCCCCTCATCTGCAAAGCCACTCCACAGCCTTGCTCAAAGTTCGGCCGCATGACGCCACCCCAGCGACAGACACGACGGGCTTGGAGCCCAGACTTTGCCTGTGTTCGGTCCGCAGCGTTTTGGGGGACCTCATGATCTACGCAGACACGACGAGACTGGCAAAGTGACTGATCACCGGGGTGGGGTGCTACGCGACGAGTCTTGGTCCATGTGTGTCCAGGCATGTCCAGTGGCATGGAGTGTGAAAACATGACATGAAAACAAAAGGATCATCGAGGGACCCACAGGTGCATCATTTTTCCTACTAGCGTCCTTGCTCCCTTCGTACGTTTAGCCGATGCCAAGTACTTCGCCCCGTTCGGCCCCCGTTCGCGATGCGGCGATGCCCGTGGCTCCGAGCTCCGTCAGGATCATCCTTTGGATGTTGATTGCGGCGGTGCTCTTTTTTGGCCTGGCCTTCTTCGGAGTCATGGTGAGCTGGCACTTGCTGATGCCAATGAGCCCTCAAGACGTGGAGACGAAGAAGCTCGCTGACGTGGTCTTGCAACTGGTGCATGATGAGAGACTTGGAGCCGCGAAGGAAGGGCGAACAGTGCGGTGCCGTGCGATGCGGTGTTTTTTACCGTGCATGTGGTGATGGTCGACCTAGGTTTGCTTTGTGTTTCTTATGTTTTATAGATTTATAGCTAGGTCTGGGGATGCTGTTGTTACACTGTTCGTTGCATTTGCCATTGCTGTCGTTGTTGTGGTGATTGTTGTTTGCTAGTGTCATGTTTCTGGTCCTTCTACTTGTACATTGTTTTGCGAGCCCCTGGAATTGAACTTCTACATTTTGTGATGAAAGCGCATGGTGTTGTTTCGTGCGGATATTGAATAGGATGTTTGCCTTGCTGTTTTGCATGCATCCTGGGTGGCAATTGTGTTTGCTCATCTTCAGACAACAGAGGATCTATTTTGAGGAGGAGGTAAAACGCCAAGGGGTAGGGACTTGTTGGCGGGTCGCAACCCATTTACGATGGCTGTCATGCCTGTGCCCAGACGCGACCCGCACCCTCATAGTGATGAGGGTGCAGCAGCCCTTTTGGGTCAGCGACCAAGAGTGTTTTGCTGGTTGGTGCAATTTGCAAAGTGGGCTCTTACAAGCGTGAGCTGGGGCCATTCCAGCTTCACACCATTCGTTTCTTCTCGCGCCAGCTCCTTCGCAATTTCGGGCCGCGCCATTCCGCCGCGCCTTGAGGAAGCTAAAGCAGGAGGCTTTACAGGTCGAAGGAGATGCCGTTTGGGAAAAGGACCGAAGTACTTCGGTCTACGTACTTCGGTCGACGGACCGGTGGAGAGTCGCACGTAGCGTTTTTTTTTTCGGTCGAAGCATGTCGGACGAAGGATCGAAGACGGGAAGAAGACGTGAGGAAGTCCTGAAAAAGAAACAAGTCTCTACACCGACACCTCGTACCTCCTCAGGTTCGGTTCGGTAGGTTGTTGCTTCGCAGCGCGCGAAGCTTTCTTGATCGTTTTCCCGAGGATCAGGAGGGATTTGGATTGATCTCTTGCTCAGACGTTGCTGCTCAGACGGTAGATATAGTTGGCCGCGCATTCAAGGACAGTGAAAAACTTGCTACTGATTTGCCACATTCAAGGATATTCCCTACACCTCGTACCTCGTACCTCCTCAGGTTCGGTATGACTGGACCCGACAATGGCACCCACCCTAGTCCCACCTTCTCAGGTTCGGTACGACTGTTATGAAAACCCTTTCGTGAGGGTCTAGATGTTTGGGTCCAAAACCATCAACACCTTGCGAAACCAGGGTCCTTTTCAGTTCGACATCCTGGATTTTCATGTGAATGTGGTTCTTTCTCGGACTGTTTGCGTCACACACAGTTGGTTGATTCATGTAGAGGGGATGCCCCCGGTCGTGAGCAACCTATATTATAAGATTATAAGTACCTATGGATGTACTTAGCATTGCCCCCTCTATTCTTTTCCAAGGTCCAAGGTCAGGCATCATTTGCTTGGCTTTGGGGCCATTTGAGGTGGAGGTTACCACCACCTATTTGCTTTTGCCATTTTGGAACTCTCAAATGTCCCAAACTTTATAAGGTTCTTCTTCCCTAACTGGAAGTGTCCCATAGCCAGTTGCAGTGGAAGGGGTTGTTTTGGCCATGTGTTTTGGTTCGAAGTACCGCGCCGACCCGACCGACCCGCCGTGGTCTCGCGTCGCTCCCGCGACATGGGCGAGCTCCAGGACCTCCATGCGGATGGTGAGAAGATCATGGACCTACTACGGGCTTCGCGGTTGGGTCACACTAGCGGGTGAGCGTTTTTCCGAAGACTCACGGGGGGCGAGCGCAAGAGTTGTGTGTTTTGTTTTTTTTTTTCATGTTTGTTGGTTCTCTCACATCATTGTTATATATTGTCTATAATATAGTCGGCAAGATCCAGACATATCAACCTGGAACCCGAAACGTTCCATGCAGCTGGATAATCTGGGCGCCTAGCTTCATTTCTTAATTGGATGTTAGTGGTGAGATGTTTTTGGTAATCCCAATTCAGCCAAGAGCGTATTTTTCAAAGCGACCAGAAAAAAATAGAAACAAGTTGTCGACATATTAATACAGGGCAGTTCGCTAAATGTTGGCTCTAGGGCTTGCTCTTGTGCCAAGTGACTCGACACCTTCACAGACACATGCGCTTGCCCTTCACCACACCCACGCATAACCAACAAACTCTCACACCATCTGAAACCCACCCATCCACTCACTTCCTCAATCACTTACTGTGCTCATTCACCCACTTACATACGCACATATACCCATGCATCTCATCTCACCTCAACGCTAGACCCTTAACGGCGGCTTGCCGACGCCCAAAGTGGCTGAAGCTATGTCGCCTCGCTGGGCAGATGAGCTGGTCGAGGCAAGCTTTGGAGAGAGTGCGTGGCAGGGTGGGCGGCGCTGCCACAGCTATCGTGGCCTGCCTCTTTTCTTCTCAAGAAAGATAGCCCCTCAGAGACAGCATTTATGCCAGCGCAATCCGCAAGATGCGGTGAGTGCAATGTTGGATTGTGGCGGCGCCCTTTATATGGGCGGTCACATTGGCGTAGAGCGAGGTCGGCGCGGCATATCAAGTCGATGCAGCGCCACGCACTGTTCCCTTTTTACCCTGAGCATCGATTCTTTGTTACAATCAATATTCTGCAAACCCTTTTGATTTAGCTTCAAAATCAATACTGGAGAATTGATTTTGTCGATTTTGAAACCATTTGTAAAAAGTAGGGAGAAAATATAAAAGGTTATAAAAGCAAGATATATTAAAACACACCAGAAAAAGCACACAAATCAATATTATCAAACAAATCAAACAGTGGCCAAGCCCTTCTAAACCTTCTGAGCACATATCTTGCATGCTCTTTCGCAAGTGCTGTACCAAAAGCATGTCCCTTTTTTCAAGGGCCTTGCAGGAATTCAAAAGGCAAATCTTTTTCAAGGTCTATTTGCAGATCAACCTCCTTTTCGACGGTCTTTCTTTTCCAAGCTTGCCCTCAAAGACTCAACACAAACCTTTTTCAAGGATGGCTGAGACTGTCAAGGTTGCAGGAGGCCTCCTTTCTCAAGGATCAATCCGCCTTGATGCCAACTCCATCCCTTCTCTCGTTAGAAGAAAATGAAGAAGGATGCGGTACTTTGGTGCAACCTTGACACTCAACCTTGTTGAACTTACACCAGGGCTCACACTGGATGTGAGCAAGGATACCTTGCCAACAAAGTCTTCACTGCAGAAAGTCCACTGAGTTCTTGGGCTGAGGTACATTGAGTTTGCAACCAAGTGTTGAAATTTATGGCATTTCATCACTGTGTTGAAATGCTTTCTCCTTTTTTCAGGGGCCCAGGCAGACAGAAGGGCATAGTTGTCACTGAACCTTTTTTGAAGGGACATGGCTTTATGCCATTCAGCTTCTGTCATGAAAGCATCTGCCTCATCAAAGAGCTGATGGGGCTTGACATGCAACCCATGGCCTGGAGCATCGCCTTCTCTTCTGCAACACCCACATCTAACAATGCCTTGCACACTGACCGAAACACATGGCCGAAAGGTATGCAGGATATGCTTTGTCTCTGCGGCCTTCAAGTCTAGGTGGGCAAAGGCTGCATGGGGTTGCTTTTGGTCAGTGATCACGCTCAACCTGAGGTTGGTGACCCTGGTTGGTGTGACGCTTGCCTTCCATATTCTTTTTGGATGGCTTCAAACATGGCTCCCAATCGCTTTTCTGGGGCCACTGCTTGCTTCTTGCCAGGGCCATCATGCCAACACAGGTAAGACATGATGCTGCAAATTAGGTGTCCCAGGACACCCTTGCAACATAGTATATGAACACAATCACCTCTGGTGTAAAAAATTATTGCAGCAACCTTAGAATCCTTTTTCAATATTATTGGGTTTTTGCAAGGCACTTCAAGATGAAAGGGATCTGGCAAGTCAATCCCTTTGCCTTTGCAAACTGTTGCCATCAAGTCCAACACAAGATCATTGTGCTGTGCCCCATCTTGAGCCATCTCATGGTCCTTCCTGACACTTGATGTTCATGATCGTGGTTTCCATAGCTTGCGTGGCCGTATACATCGGCTCAGCGAGTCTTCACAGGCAAAGCCCGAGCTCTGGCCATCTCCATCAAGTAGCTGCCCCTTGAACAGTCGAAGACGTGGGTTCTGTAGGGTGACAACATCATCTGCCTTTGCCAATTCCGACTCTTCCAACTTGATCCACTTGCAAGGACAACCTTGGTTCATCATCTGGCTTTGACCTGGTGGAGGTGCATGCGGAGATGCGGTGTTTTTGAATCTGGGGAAAGAAGACAAACCAGTGAAAGGAAAACAGTTGCAATATGTTGCAATAGTCTAAACAGTCAGGAGTGAAGGATTGCAAGCTGATTGGGGTATGGAAGTGCTTTAAATAAGCCGGCCTCTCGGTTGCCTCATGCCAGTACTTGCAGTCTTGGTTGAACTCAATGTTGCGCTTCTCCGTTTCAGCTGCGGTGGCATCCTTGAACTGTAGCACCATCCATTTGGCAGCCAATGCCTTGAGGATGGCCAGCTTGTCATGCCTACCGCATGTACTGACCGGCGGCGGTGCGATATAGACATGGACATTGATGCCAGGGTTTGCCCGCGTGACTTTTTGCTGTGTTGCCCCATCACTGGCGAAGTGAGCCCGATTGTATGCAGACTTGTTCACGCAGTCGCTCATGAAACCGGTCCTTGACAATTGAAATGCCAAGCAGCTTCTGGACATTCTTCACACTCAGAAATCCAAGTTTGACAGGCAGGACCTCATGGAGTTTGTCCCAGACCAGGATTCGGAAGAAGGCCGGTGATACCCAGTACACTGGCGCTTGCAGCGAAGGAAGGAGAAGGAGGGGGGGAGGAGGAGGAGGATGACAGCTGTGATAAAATCTAACAACCCTCACCTGGCAGGTGGGGAACAATTGCCTTTCGTGATTCGACAAAAAAAAAGTGATTGTTTCGGGTTCCAGGAAGATTATGTAAAGGTCTTTGTGTCACAGTTTATACAATCTGAGGAAGCTCAAATCTTTTCACAGGGGCGATCAGGTTTTGGTACGATATAGCCCAATATAGGTTAAACCCTTAGCAGAAGATCGCCAACAAAGAGACCTGGAAAGCTTCGCGCGTATTTTTTTCGCAACTTGCAGCGGCATCCCGGATTGAAAAGCAAGACACAAGAAGGGTCAACTCTCATCGTACATACACATCATGAGGCCCTCTGTCGGGGGGGGTCGAGCGGTTTCAATTCCACTTAACACTGCCTGGACTTTTGTTACTGGTTTTCCAACACTTGGGTTTTGCCATGATATACCCCCAATCCTGAAACCCAGCCTGAGGCTGACCGTGGCGATAAACCTGTCCGATGGGAGAAATGATTCATGTGAAAAAATAATCGGGTCAAATACATTTCGATATGTTGTCACCTTTTTTTGGGGCGGGGCAAATTGTTTTCGCTCCCATGTCGGTGAATGTGCAAGCGCCCCGCGGCCCCGCAATGCTGAGTCCATGGAGACGAAGTTGTCCCCAGAGGCTGCGGCCAAACTGGGTGTCGAGGCCAGCTGGGTGTTCGGGCCATGGAGAGTTGGTGATAATCTTTTTGGAATGCGAAACAATATTACATTTATGCCATAGGAAAGCAATGTCGAAGATCGTTGAAACAAATTTCAACGTCGAAATTTAATTTAACCTTTTGATCCCCAGGCAAGGATAAATCGTGTATATTATAATATATGGATATATCAGGCGATTTTTCGATCAGGAATGTGTTTCGACACTGAAACATGCTGGACAAATACCTGCTCTTTTGTGGTCATGCACGGTTGTCGTTGATATGTCTTTGATGGACAAGATGGTGGCACATGTTCACCAAAAAAACATTGTTCATGGAGACAAAGTGGCCGGTATCCACGAACCGGATTATCCACGGTGTTCTCCTCATCCACATTAGGATTTACCAAAGGCTAAAATCCAAGCTGTAATCCAACTCCCACTTGGCTCTGAACAAGCACCGGAAATTTGTTTTGCATGGTGGGTGTTCCTTAAACAATTTGGAAACTTCAAGTTCAATCGAACCACAAATGAAACATCGTCGTTCTGAATTGATGACCTTTATTGTTTTCTCTTCAAACTGAGAGTGTGTAGCCCAAAAGCACATTGAAACCAGTCCAATGATACACCAAGAAGAACAGACGAAACACCGAGTTCCTCCTTTTCGCTCCTTCGAACTCCCCTCTCCTCTCTCTTCGAGGTGACTGCCACCGACCTCGCGCGGATCTTCGGCGTGACCAGCGCCCATGGCCATCCGATGAGTTTGGAAGACGTCCCATGACCGACCATCGCGACATTGGATCGTCCGTGTGCGACCTTGACCATCCGTTGAGGGTGAGGACTGAGAGGAACGTTCTGAATTGAGATGTGAATTTGATGATATCTGATGATATAAAGTGTATGAGATGTTTTGTTGTTTTCTCAGGTAAGAAGAAATTCATCCGATTCAGGGACCGTTCATCGTCCTGAGCTTAGACCGGTTGCAAATATAGGGTGTTCTGAAGGATGCTCCGACCCCAGTCAACTGTTGATGAATCAAACGCCCGATGTTTTTACATTTTATGGTCCTGGTGGCTCTCCTCATTGAATTCGATCCCAAAAATCTGGCCTCCACCCTGTGGGCTGACATCATTTTGAGACACTCTGAGGTATTCAACCATATTCAACCCCTTCCATGCCAATAGCTGTGTACCAGCACCTTGAATGGGGTCAGCAATAGAAGCCCCAGCCCACTACTATCCGGGATCTCCAGCCAGGACACCCCGACATAAAGGTCAAGGTATAGAAGAAATCTGTTCCAACATGCCGGCTTGTTTTGGCATCCGTTTCTTCAGACTCTCTCCGATCCGATCCCCAAGAGAAGCTCGGCGCGGTGTTGGCCGCGAAGCGGCAATCAGGTGAAGAGGGGCGCCTTCCAAGGAGAGACCTGGTTTGGGCGATTGGGATGATGTCTTTTGGTCTTTTCCCGAACTGGATGAGTCCCCATTCCCATCTATTCCCTCCTTTTTAGGGGGAATTGGTGGTGTTTTGTTTGTTTTTTTTCACTCTCGGTGACCTTAAGCCCGGCCCGCCAATTCCATCCAAATCCAAGGATATGATGCCCAAGGACTTTGCTCAGCTGGAACGCTTCGTCTCTCACGCGGACGACGCCCGCGTGATGAAGCGCCTGGCGAAGAAGAAGAGGCGGCGGCTCACGTCGGGCGAGAGGAACTTCGGTGCCGGCGAACCCTGGACGGGCGGCGTGGTGAACTACTGCTTCCAGGACGCGAGCGCAGCGAGCGCAGAGCGAAGACACACGTGGCGCGTCGCGGAGAGTGCGTCGCGGATATAGTGCGTGGCTCGGATGTGCAGAGCGGTGGTAAGATCGTAGGGCGAGGACAGTGAAAAGCATTAGGTGGACATAGCATTGGTTCTTGAACGCGTCTGGTTTCATGGCCAAGTCCTGAATCAGCATGGTTTACATGCACAACCCCACATGTTTGGAGGGCATGACACGGTTACGAAAGGCAGTTGGGTGTTCCAGAAGAAAAGACAGGACCTCAGCAGGCCCCTTTTAGATCCGAAACCAAGTTAACGGATGCCCACCGTGAAATCAGTGTTTGGTCGCCACATAACTTTAACTTGAGTAAGGAGGGTATAGATCAGGTTTCTTTTTGGTAACCATCTATATTATATATAGCTTCATAAGCAAGGAGGTATGGATCAGTTTAGTGTGTTTGTTCTTTGTTTCGACCAATGGATCCACGATGCACATCAAAAGCACCAGCAGTTTGCATCAACGAGAATCTAGTTTGTGGTTCCCTGCTTGGACTCATTCACTGACCGTTTCAAATGGAGGCTTCCATCGCTTCCATCGTTCAAACGATGGATCGTTGGATCCGACAAAAAACACGTCATGGATGCTCGTCAGAGATCTGGTTGCTCGTCAGAGATCTGGTGTCGAATCATTCGACACCAGATCTCTGCCGGATGGCATCTTTGGTTCATATGGTTCATGTTCCCTACACCGACACCTCGTACCTCCTCAGGTTCGGTATGACATGGCACCCACCCCAAATACCGATCTCAGGTTCGCTACGACTGGAGGCCTAGGGGTAAGCTTCTTGCGATCTCGGTTCGTAAGGCCAGGAGCTACGTTCGTAGATGTAGACTCTTGCTTCATAGACCCCCCCCAGTTGAATTGCACATCCTCTTCAAAGGGGTGGATTTATTAATCAAGAGTCTACATTAGTAGCGATGCCCTTGTTACTACTCCCAGACGCTCCATGGGACTGCCATATATGCCGCCCCATTGACCTCCAGTCAACCACCCCTGGCCTGATCGGCAGTCCTATGGCAGTCCCATGTCGTGTCGTGTCTGGGACTAGCTTCTTTCCTTTGTTTCTTTGCCAAACTCTTCTTCTGACTGGTACTTTGTAGGAAATGAGGGAATGAGCCCTATATAGATTCCTATAGATTCCTATATATATATATGGATCCATTCCCTCATTCCCTACAAGTCGCACCAGTCAGTCTTTGTCGATTCCTGCGACATCGGACATCGCCGCAGAGACGCCGGACATCGCTCCGGACGACGAGGAGAACATTGCGTCTGGAGCTCAAAAGGCCATCCGTTTCGCGATCAAGCAGTACAAGAGCCTTGGCCCCGCAAGACCAGCCATGTTTGAAGAACCCGAACGTTCGACTATCCTATTTTTTGGTACCCCAGGTAGTTCCGGGTCCGTTCAAATCACTGGCTACCTGTGTTACGCCTACGAACCATGCGAATCGCTTCGTCCACCATGGAGCGCTCGTGTCTTCTCGCCGGCGATCGGTTTTCTCGTGGGTGACGGAGAGCCTCGGAGCTTGGGTCGTCCGCACAAAACATGTAGAGTTGGGTGCTGAGATTTCATCGCAAAGGGCATGAAAAGGGCAACTTCCAGCAGTCACAAATAGGCACCCCTTTGTGACTGCTGGTTTAATTATCTTTATTACATGGCAAGGGCAACGGGAACATTTGAGGAAAGCCATTTTGTCGGAATTTGACCTTTGTCTGGATAGGAACCATCCTTTGCCCAGACGCTCGTGGACCCTCATATGGAGAGTTTGGGGCCTCAAATCCGGTTTTGAGGGACCAGTCAGGCTTGTTCACAGAGCGGAAGTCTGGGTGGGGGGGGGTTCCCCAAAGTCATAGAGGTCACTCAGGTCACTCGGGTCGGTTCTCGTGAGGTTTCTCACCGGGCTCCGAACACCGATCTTTCGTGACCCGTCGTGACCGTCGTGACCGTCGTGACTCGGGTCGAATGGAGCGATCGAGTCGAGTCGATGTGTTGTTGAAGTGCCCTATAGGGCTCCAACTACCTCCTGAGAAGATGGTTGGGATGGGTTTGGGGGGTCTAACCACCGAACCTGAGGATATGTTTGGAGCACTAGGGGTATACATCCCAAACACTTCATGGGCCAGGAAAAGACCTGGATCCAGCCCGTAGGGAATAGGGAATACCTCAAGATCCCTTATTCCTTAGGCTCCAAACTGGGACACCCTGAGGTGGAGTCTTTGGGGCGTACCTACATTAACCCCTTTTCAACAGCCCCTGTCTGTATACCAGTCCCATGGAGTGTTTGGGCATGGCACAAGGGCCGCCAAGTGACAGTGACAGGCGGGTTGATGGCAGCTTAGACCTCAAAAAATCATGATACGGCCAAGGTATGATAGATGACATAGTTGCCCTAAGAATCCGGGCCCGAAGCAACACATAGGGTTTGGGAACCGGGCCTGGACCCCTGCTTTTCGGTGTCGGGTCCGACCCCTGCCATGGAGAACCCAAGCTTAGGGTTATATATATTCATTTTTTTGATTGTTCATTTGTTTTTTCAGACATCGTATACACTTGGACGTCGTGTTTTTAACACTCTGACTCACACATCACATATGGGAGTGGAGGGCATGGTCCCTTGGAAGACGACATTCCTTTACAAACAGGGGGGTGAACTCTACTTCAATGGATTGTGAGTCCGAGTGTAGTATTTTGTGTTTGTCCCAGTCAACGAGAACACCACGATGTGTTGAGATGGAAAGGCCTGCAACGGAACCATCATCACACTGGTCATAGGATATACCCAAAGTATACACCATTCCCAGTTCACCCCCTGCATGGGATCATATGGGAGCCCCAAGCTCTATGAAGGAGCTTTTACCACCCATGTTTGGGGGAGTATGGGGAAGTTATATTCATGAATATAGGTCTACATTGCCCAGACATGACCTGTATGGCATACTTGGCATACACTGGCCCGATGAAAGTTGCGCTTATTGACATTGAAACTCATGACAGGCCTATCCCCCTAGAATCCACGATGAGACAAGGGAAGGTGTGGGCGGTCATTTGTGGCCCCGGAAAGGTTGTTTTTTACCTTTCAATCGGTGTGATCATGGACCGTCCCACACCTGCCACGAAGACTTGTTGATTCGATCCGCTGACCGGCAAATGTGTTTTGTAAGGCTAACAAGCATAAACTGTTTGCCTGAAGTATTGACCTTTGGACAAAGATGGCAGGGATTTCAATGAGTCGGAAGATCCATCAGCATTCTAAACCCAGACTTGACCTGCATATTTGACCTATACATTGCATTCACCCTGTTTTCAACCACCCATGGCCTGATCGGCAAATATGGCAGTCCCAGACAGGTCGTGTTTGAGGGTATATACACCATTGATGCATCTCCAACGTTCTGTTAGTGGTCTTGGAAGGGTTGCGCTTCTAGACGTTTCTAGACCTATTTGGATCATGCAGGGCTATTTGTTGTCAGCTTTGTCAGAACCAATGCTTTTCTCCTCATTTGTTTGAGTGACTGTTTTCCATGCCAACATGATCTGGTAACTTCTACGACCTGCCTTCGCGCGAAGCGAAGAGCGTCTCCCTAGTAAACCTAAAGTATGCAAAAAAAAATGTAGTTTCAGAAAAAAACAGTTTTTTTGTTGAAAATGTATTTTTTGTATAACAATTACCTTTTTGGATTTTGGTTACCTTTTGTTACCTTTTGCATACTTACTGCTGTTTGTTTGAGAAATCATGGGACCATTCTGTCTGAGATCTCCAGTCTGGAGTTGTGGGCAAATGAACAGGGCGCCAGTACTTACTTTCTGTACACAAAGGATGTTGCAATCACCAGAGGGCATTTAGATGATACATGATGCCCCCTGTGCACAAATTGCAACTTCCTCGTTTTGCAAAGATTGCTTTGGAGATCCATATCGCCATCGAAACCATTTCAAAGTGGTCGAGCTCTATCTATTTAGTTCATAGTCATGGTTAGAGTGGCCAAAACTTCAAGACGTTGAAAAGCTGCTCTGCCTTTGCCCTCGAAGAACTTCGAAGCGAAGGCCCTGGAAATCGACCGGACAGAAGCCAATTTCACTGAGAGCATGCTGTGTTTGAGATGTGTCAACTTATCCCAACAGCTTGTCATGGAATGCCTTGATTCCATCTTGCCTGAAAGATTCGGATAAGTTGCGGTGATCATTCAAAGCTGAATAATAGAGAAACGCTTGGGGCAAGGGAAAACAAAACCCAGCTCGATCTGCAATCGCTGAGATTTCCATTTTTTCAGTGGACTTTTTTATTTCCATGCAGGAGTGGCCGAAAAACAATTACGGAATTTACCGTCCAAATGACGGAAATCACCGGAAAAATTGCGGAAATTGCCGGACACGGTTTGGATGTTTTGAATGTAAAATTTTTTGCTGTGTCAGGGGCCTCTGGTACGTTGGTACATGCAGGTTTCCTTTGATGTGGCCACGCCTGCTCCTATCAACTCCTTGGTTTCGAGCTGCGCCACTCTGTGTGAGGTGAGGGCATGCCCTGCCCGACACATGATGTTGTGCAGCCCCCCTGATGAGGAAGACACCCTTCTCCAGCAGTTGCAGGAGCAAAACACAGCTAACTCGCTGTAGTAGTTGTTTCGATTCCTTAAGAGGGGCTCGCACTGCGCTACAGGTTGTGTATGACTTCGGCCCAAGCGCCAAATCTTTCTCACACCACTTTTGAGACGAGGGAAATTGTCAAACTGTCCAAATTTTGCGTGTCAGTTAAATGGCATTGTGCAGCCAACAAAGTTCTTATTATTGGGAGAATCAGCCGTGTCAGTAGACAGGTTGCAAGCAAGCAGGTGATCCCAAGGGCCATCGAAAGGTACGGTGTATCCTTGCACTTTCGCCGGAACCGACTGAAAGAGCCTAAGTTTAGGTGAAAAACTACGTTTTGGTGTAAGAAGAGGCTGGATTTGGGATTGGAAAGCAGCTGAAAAAATGAATATTGCATACCCTCCACTGGCTTGATCGCAGCAACTACCATTTTACAAAACAATGACGTTTCTTGGCTGAGATGACCTTTTTTGCCAGAAAAGAACACGATTACATTTTTTTTTGCATACTTGGGTTTTCTAGGTCAGACTGGATTCCCTCACCCAAGTGGTATGTGTTGCCTTGATTCCTGGGATGAACAAACAGATGGCATGGAACATCGAAGCAAAAAAACAACGGACCCTCAGTTGATTGATCGGAGTTCAGTCTTAGATTTGCGAAGGTCGGACATCTGTTCCCATGACACTCCATGCGATTCTCATATACATATATATACAATATGCCGCCCCATTGACCCCCCCAAAAAATACATCTAAAAAAACATAATGTGGGTAAATATAACATATCATGGAGTGTTTCGGGTATTCAATAACAATTGTTCTTTGGAAAACATCGGCTATAGAATCTTTTAGAAAGCGTTTTTTTTTAGCCAACGAACCAAGTGCAGTACGTCTATAAGCAGCCAAACTTCCCCTATATCAAGCCAAGCAACCTCCCTGACCTGCTCACCTCCTCCTGACCTGCTCCAGGAAAGCTGTGCCATGTTTGCAGTTTGTAGATGTTGGCTTGGGCCCCAGCGGTAAGAGCTGCATGCAGTCTCCCGCCATCTTGGTCACTTCCGAGAAGGAGACCGGAGTCGTGCGCCGGCGCACGACGCGCCCCGCCCGGTCTCGCCGCGCGGTGGAATTCGTTCGCGCGGTCCATTCAGGTGAAACATTCGGAGAGCGCGGGGAGATTTGAGTGGTCCTGTAAACAATCGGACAGGGAAGAATGTGATGTTTACGCGGAATGGTTGTGGGGGGGCCATCGGGTTCAGTAGTGGAGCACAGCACAGGCGTGCCTTTGGACAAAGATGGCAGGGATTTCAATGAGTCGGAAGATCCATAAGCATTCTAAACCCAGACATGACCTGTATGGCATATTTGATCTATATATATTCACCCTGTTTTCAACCACCCCTGGGCCCCTGGGCTTTTCTCGGCGGCAGTCCCAGGCAGGTAAGTTGGAGTAATACACCTAAGACTCTGCCCAACAACTCCACCTTCGAAGGGCGTACAGACCCCTGGCCTTTTGGTATGGGCGAGCTAGCCATTATCCAGCGGCCCGAAGCTCCAATCAAAGGTGCTGAGCTAATGCTGACTGTTACAGTCCCGGATCCAGTCGTACCGAACCAACCTCAGGTTAGGTACGACTGGACCCACGACTGGACCCTCCAAACCTACATAAGAGTGTCGAACACATCACCGTACCTGAGAAGGTACTTGGATCATAATGCTGACTGTTACAGTGGGCCATCAGAGGCTTGATGGCACGTTTCCCCCATGATGTCCTATCTCGATGGGGGTCCATATGTTCACCACCGACCTTGGGGTCTGTGCCATCTACGTCCTCTCAAGCCATAATGAATCATGCGCCCCACTTCTGGTCGGTGTCTTTCCTTCGGAAGACGTTTAACGGGTGTTCCTTCAGTGCGCAACGCCCAGAATCGTCGAACTGAATGGACATCCAGGAGCATCCTGTTTGGACTATCCTAGCTGGACTACCCTGCACTACTCTCTTGGGATCTCTTGGTCCCAGGACACCCAGGATAGGATGGTCCAGGTCCTCTCTGCGGACACCCAGGTAGGATCATAGGACTCCCATCCCAGTGGTTTGCAGACCCTAGTCTTGGTCCTCTCTTGGTCCCAGCTAGGACACCTACACACTACTCTCTGCGGACACCCAGGTAGGGATCCGTGAATCCGCAGACTACTCGTACCTTCACTCGACGAACCTGGCCGTGATGCCGTCTTCAGCCGGATCTGTGAGCCTGGTGGTGAAACCGCACGACGTGCAACGTCGGATCCCCAAAGCCCAAGTGGCGAACGCCTTCATGAGGTGACTAAAAAATGTGTTCAATGGATTTTCAGGAGTGGTCTATGGATTGGCTTGAAATCATACGTGTTTCCATTTCTTTCCCCAAGTGGCGACTCCGGCTCTGAAAAAGGTTTAGGGTTTTTGGGGTTTGGGACGGGGTTTGGACCCCTGGGCCTGTTTGGATTACAAACATGATGGGAACCCTGGTGGTCAAAACAGGTCAAAACCGGACCATGCTACGCTCAAACGCTCGGCCAGCAGGACGGGTGTTGGTCCTATGTGGGGATGCTGAGAGATGAAGAGGTGGCTGGATCTGGGGATGGCCATGGCCAAAGACCGACTTGATGTTCAAGGATACACTGTGACACACATGCGATTTGGTTGATGCAAGAGTCAGTCGATTCCCACATGGGCTTGTATTAAAGCATCGCTGACCCTAGCCATCCACCGTGTCAAACATGGGGCAAAACACCCGGAACAACGACGCCCCGAGGGGTAACGACGCAGGAAATTAAGCCACGCGGCGATGGACACTTCCGCCCTCCGCCAGCCCCTGGGGGGGATCCAACGGACGGCCTTTTTGCCTTTGTTCGATGTTCAAACTATACCCGGGAAAATTAACATGGAACCTGAAAATTGACCTTTGGAAGACAATTTTTTTCTACAACCCAGTGGTTTCCAGGTTCCATGTTAAATTTCCAGTGTGTATCCAAGAGAGGTAGCCAGTGACATAGGAAGGACCGTAACCTGGGGTACCCAACTGGGATAGTCAAAGGGGTCGGTCCTTCAAGCTCTGTTGTATGATGGGAGTGCTTTCTCCCGTTCTTGATGCATGATTCGTTCAACGAATTCAACACCCAGGTGCCTGAATGTGGTTTGCCTATATTGCCTTTATGGGGCGTTTATTTATTCAAAAGGATGTTGTTCTTGACTCGGCGGAAATTGAAGGAGTCTCTCCTCTGAAAGTGCATTTTCTTCAAACAGACAACAGACTTGGAAGGATGATGAAGGGGTCCTGCATTGCATATCCCAAACACTCCATGTATCGATGTATATACATTGGGGTGTTTTTGTTGGTTCAGGCGTACTCTAGGAGTGTATTGGAGAAGAGACATCCCCCAAAAGAGATGTTTCAGCTGTTTGCAGCCTGAGGAACGAGCAGCGAAAACTGTTGCGATGGCCGACGCTTTCGGCCGACGGTCGAGTCCGGTTTTTTACAGACTGTGCGACGGTGGATGCAGGTCACCCATACATGTTCAGCTTGGCAACATGTCTAAACTTTGACAGAATCATTCCAACAGATATTCTCAAGCAAATCAGTCAGGTTCAGTTTCCTAGAGAAAATGAGAACAGAACTGAGCCCTAGCTTGCAACAAAAGCGAACTTGGATTGGGCATCCAGTCGAGACTCTCGCGAATTCGTGGGATCCAATCATGGGGAAAGTCCACAGATCACTTGGCCGCCAGATGCCAAGTAGCGCGTATTTTGGAGCACCTATCGAATCGAGACAGTTTTCCTTTCAACGTCTTCAAGTTCTTTGCGGCACCGCGGTCACCGGCGCCTTCGGCGGAAGGGGCGCGGTCACCGGGGAAACGCCAGGTGCAGCAGCTGAATCTGGAAACGCCAGGCTCGCGGGACCGGTTGACCGGGTGAAAGCCACGTGTCGTGGGCTTCCAACAACGGAGTCATCGGTTGGCTTCTGGATACACAATGGTATCACAAATGGAAGATGGGTAAAAACACATGTTTTATCTCGTATTCCGATGTAAGACCATGTGTTTGCTTGTTACAATCTTGGATCATTGGAGAACTCATTGGAGTATTGCTTGCGAGTCGCGCCACGAGCTGCCCCGAATTCCTTGTTGAGTCGATCTGAAGATCGCGCGCCTTTTTTTGTAGCGATGTTTTTGTGATATTATCAGAGCTTCAAAGTGAAGCTACCGGCTAACCGTCGGGTTGCTACTGGCTGACTACCTGGCAGTGAGCATCGTCCAACACCTCTTGTGTTTTTCGTAAGGGCCTAGACATAATGTGTTGAAGCACGCTCAGGTGGGGTAAAATGAATGACTATTATAATTGGAAGGTCTAGAATTTGATGGTACAGCAGAAGTCGACTCTTGGTGTTGATCACGACGGTCGTCAACCTTCGAACATCTTGCTCATCCCCCCAACAATGAGTTTCACTCGGCTGCAGTGCGGATGACAGACTTATCCAGCGTGAGCGCAACACTTGTGGGATCTTCAAGACCAAATCATCGAACCCTTTTAAGGCAGGTCAGGCACAAGTCAACTACCAGGGCCCCAGTCAAGCGGCGGTTCATGGTTAATGGACCTCCCTTCACCTTTAAACGGCTATTCCCTAGGGCTCCAACCACCTCCTGAGAAGATGGTTGGGGTGGGTTTGGAGGGTCTAACCACCGAACCTGAGGAGATGGGACAGGAGCCCTAGGGATTATATAACCCTTAGTGAGGGCTCCCTGGGACTCCTTCTCCCGTGTTCCATGGATCGCCACAGCGGTTCCGACCCGACGTCGGTCCACCGGATGGGACCCATCGACAACGGCGTGGGAATGGGAGATGGATCCCAGATCTGCAGATGAACCCTATACCAGGAGTCACAAGACGGGGTGCTATCCATGGAGGTTAGGCGGGTTAGGGGTGCCCAGCTACTCCACTCACTTGGAGACTAGACCCCACCCCTTTGTGACTCCTGGTACCAGGACCCTCCTGTCGGGGTGCCTATAGCCAGTGTGGGGAGCCTATAGGTAGTGTGGGGTAGTCCAGTGGACACCCCTTGGAGGGTCCCCTAGAGAAGTCCAGTTCGACTATATGTTGACCGACTGAAGTAAAGGATATTCCTAGACTCGGGTCACCTATAAAGACCATTCTTTTTATAGTCGACTTGACTCCCAGGGTAAATGTATGAGCCATCTAGGTATGTAAACTCTTCAGTCCCATTGGTTAGGTCTGGGCCTGAAACCCCGGCCATCGATCTCACCTCGGACGCTGGACCTCAACGTTCTGGTTCTTTGGGATGGACCAAGACCATCTAAACACCATATAAACGGCATCTAAAACCCATATAACCATGCTGTATATGCATATATGCACCCGCCGTAAAAACACACACACACACTCTATTAGGTCTTAGATTCCTCGGGCGTGAAAACGCCCCCGCCAACCTTAAGACCTCAATATTTCGCCCACCACGAAGCTTTTCGCTGCTTACTCGCTGCTGTGCGTTCGTAGAGGCTGCGACTCAGTGGGTACGGCCATGCATGAGCTGGGCCATGCCTTGGGCATGGAACATGAGCAGAGCCGCCCCGACCGCGACGAGCGCCTCGACCGTGTGTGCCGTGAGTTGGAGGAGACCGGGACATGACATGTTGACTGATTTTGTGAGATCTTATAAGGGATTCAACATAATGTTCTCCATTCCCAAGCTGCATTTTTTTTCAGACAAGGATTCAACATCAATGATTCAACTATGCAGCAGTTTGGAGACTTTTTGTTTGAAGATCTGGGCGAGTGGCACGCTCCAGTGGCACGCTCGCCCTTCGTCCGATCGGAAGGTCCCACACACGCTCCATTCTTCGCTTGGACCTCGAAGTCTTCGCCGAGGTATGTGAAGATCTACTCCCATCGTATCGAGGATGGTAGCTGAAGCCGCAGGGATGGGGGGAATGGTACCTACACCTGGCAGCTTCCCAGACCTACGTAGCAGAAGTTCATAGGACTGGAAGGGAAGGTCGGGGCCCGGGTCATGGGTCATGGCATCATGGGGTCTATGTATGTAACAACTATTCCAGTCCCATCGGGCATGAATGCTGTTATATGCATCAATATACCACCCTCCTATTCCTGTCGGGTGATGTGTTCGACACTGAAATATGTAGGCGCCGGGAGGGTCGTCCTAAGAAGGTCTTTGGCATGCCCTTGGATACTGAAAAGACCTTTGAGCTTCGACTGAAGTCCAAGCCGCCGTTGTGGAGGCCGTCGGTGCTCGACTGAAGCGAAGATCGCTCTGTAGAGACCGCAGAAGGTGAGCTCATTGACCGCCCCAGTCAAGCGCAGCGTGGTCGTTGAGAAAGAATGGCCACATGACTTCGACATCCTCTCTATTTGTCACCTAAGCCGCTCGCGTTGGAGGCGGCCTAAAGACTTTCTAAATGCCACTCGACATCCTGGATGATGTGCAAGGCGAGACCAACGCGTGACATCCATCCGTGACAACGCCGGACGGCACAGCCACTCGTCTCGGTCGACGACCGAGACCCGCGCCGACGGATGGCAAGCCGCTCGTGGCATCGATCCTGAGGATGCCAAGCGCAGTGGAGCGGAGCGAGCGAAAGCGGCAGACGAATTGATCGAATTGAGCGCGGCTCCGGTCCACTAAGGCTGTCCCAAATCATGCTCACAAGGCCAAGAGAGGTAGCCAGTGACCTGAACTAGGACCGTAACCTGGAGTACCCAACTGGGATAGTCTAATTAGGGTCCTTCAACCTTTGTTGGATATAGTGTAATAGAAAAAGGGGGACCTCCGAAGAATGACAACAGACCCAAACCCAATGGTTGGGCGTCTCCTTATATTATAAGATATACATTCAATTGACTGTACAGTGTCAATCAGTGCATGGCACTTTTTCTTCATCCAACTTGGCCACCCTTGGGACAAGTTCGATGGGAGGTGCAATTCCCAGTTCCCAGTATCAAAAAGACTGTTTTGAATTTAGGGCTTCCCTTATGAGAAGTGAGTTGCTTGGAACTTTGTTTTGAAAGGTTTCTGTACTGAGTGACAGAGTGGGTATACCAGATGTTGGTGTTGGTTACTTTCTCGCGTAGACCGGTTCCAAACGATTCCCACGTTTACTTTGCATGTCTACGTACTTCAGCTACATTTGAAGCTCGACGCCATGCCCAGACGATCCATGAAGTTCCGTTGTTCATCACGGCGGATGGCCAAGGCAATGCTGATCAATTTACCAAGTCCGAGAATGGCGACATGGAACGTCCGTATGACCTCATGTCACTCATGCATTATGAAACTCAGACTTTCTTAGAGGTCGGGGGGGCGCGAAGCGGGCGGTTTGCGGCGGCCATGCCTTGTTCTCCCGCACCTGGCGGTGTGGGTCTTTGTAGCAGGGTTGCCGAGATGGTTTCGATGGTTGCCATCCCGTTCCGACATCGGGGCAGGGCAGCCGCACCTGTTCGTGGTCCGTGATCCGAACGGGATGCACCGGTCAGACCCCCAAAACAAGCCACAGTTGGTATACGAGCCCTTCCATCTCTACCTCCAATGCATTGACATGCTGAGAGCTACGAGCCGGGAAGGTGGACATGAGCAATAGGGTTACCTGGATGTTTCTTCCAGCACCAGCATGCGCGCCTTTTTTTCAGGGCCGGACGCACTCCCTGAGTTTTTATCATGGAAGTGGGAAAAGTTTGTTTTTTGAGGTTTTTTGTTTTACAAGCAAGCAATTAGATTTCCACTTCTGTGACTAGTTTCAGGGAGGGTAATCCATAACTGTCTGGCAGCATTCTCTTCATTTGCTTCCAGACCGTGTGTTGTGGACATGTGGCACAGAAGGATGTTGACCATTGATGAGACGTTTTGCCTCCCCACAATTCGATGTCATTTGTTTGCAAGTGTGGTGGCATGGAAAGGTTTATAAAGTCAGCAAAACACATACGAAAACAACAACATTCCAACAGCCAGGACCTTCAAAGTGACCTTTTGAGATCCTAGAATGAGGTCACTTAGACACTCCAAAGAGGTCACAAACAGAGACTCCAAACAGGTCACTTTGAAGGTCCTGGAGTAACAAGAATTAATTCAATCGTTGATATTCGACCGTTTGGCTTTGGAAGAGCACGCGGTCCTGGCACCTCCGACCGAAGCAGATATCCCCCTCCGCGCAGCGTGAAGAACATATTGCTCTCAAGACCTACACAGCTGCGTCCACGGCTGCACTTGCCAACGGCCACAAAAAGGCCCCCCCGACCATAGCTTTTGGCTCAGTGGCATCATCATTTGGCCCAAAGCTCAGAGCATCAGTATCACCAACCCAAAAGGCGTCCAAAGCAGAACTCGAGAGATACACGAACTCGTTACTCTGGGCTTTTGGCTCCATCAGCTGTGGGTGTGTGTGTGTGTGTGTGCTTTGTGCGAGCCAAAAGCGAATCTTCGAGGATGAAGGCCCAGTGCTTCCGTGCTGATGCTGGTGCAGGTCCAGGTGCTGGCTGTGGCTCGGCGCTTTGGTTTAGCGGGTGCTGCTGCCGTGCTGATGCTGGTGCAGGTGCTGGCTCTGGATCGGCGCTTCGCTTTGCAGGTGCTGCTGCCGTGCCGGTGCTGGTGTTGGATCGGCCCTAGGTTCGAGCGGAACCCCGAGGATGTCGCAGCCCGCGTGACCGTGACCGGTGCGTGTGTTCTGCGTGACCCTTCGGCGGTGGCGGCCACGCTGCGGCAGGACGACCAAACTGGATCCCAGCAACGTGTTGGTGATCGTCGGCGCTCTGATTTCGTGGCAGGTGCAGTGAATTGTCACTTTTGGACATGTCGCTCGTTTCCAGATTTCGTGGCAGGCACAGCGCTTTGTGAACCTTGGATCCGATCCGAGTGTAGATTTTGTGGCAGGCACAACACTTTGTGAACCTCGAAGATTTCGTGGCAGGCACGGCACTTTGTGA